TATTGTTCCTAATGTAAATCACAAATTTCCATCTCCTTAAAAAAGTACATTTAGTCATTTAGCAGATGCTTTTATATGAAGCGACTTACAAATGAGGACAATAGAAGCAGTCAAAACTAACAAAAGAGCAATAGGCCTAATATGCATGTGCTATGCTTTCTTTGTAATTTATTGTAGAATTTAGCAATTTTTTTTCAGTGCTTTAGAATATATATATTTTTTTTTTTATTATTTACACTGTAAAAACTGATGTTACAAGAAAATACTATTTCTACTTCAAAATGTCATGTTTAATTCCTTGCGATTTCTTTGTAATTTATTGTACAATTTTGAAATTTCTGGGTGAAAATTGTTTCTACACCAATTTTTTTTTTCAGTGCTTTAGAGTATTTATTTATTTATTAAAATATTTTTACAAGACATTGTACAAGAAAATACCATTTTTACTTCAAAATTTCATGTTTAATTCTATGTATCATTTATTGGAAAACTAGCAATTTCTGTCAATTGTTTCAACACCAAATTTGTTTTCAGTGATGCATAAAAATGTACACTATTTTGTCACAATAATTTAAAATTAAACCTCATTTAAGTAATAACGCTTTAAATGCTACAAGTGAATTTAGGCATCAAAACATAATATTGTGAAATATAGAAAAATAATACTTATTTTGATTTTGATTTGTTTTAATTTAAATTAATTTGATTTAGCTAAAGATTGCATTTAAAAAAAATTTACTAATTATTAAACTAACACTGTTTTAAAAGATTAAGATTAAAAAGATTCAAAATAGAGGAAGTGATTAAATATATAATAAAAATATAGAGAAATAATAATAATAAATAAATAAATAAATAATCATTTTTAAATAATTAACCAATATGGTTCATATATATTGTGAAGAACATAATTTAAGAATTTAACATTTACTGAATAAAATGTGAGTATTCGCCCTTACAAAAAAAAAAATGCCATGTTGCTATGTGGTTTCTAGGGTTTTCTTGCTGTTGGTTGCTTAAAGATGTGTTAAATTGTCATGTCTTTGCTGTTGGTTGCTTATAAAGACCCTTAAACCTTCGAAACAATCCCTAACACAATAATTATGGTGATTTTTTTGTAAGGATCGCCTCTAAAGAACTGTTTTCTTTGGCTTCATTGGCTGCATGTGGGTTTGTTCTGTGTGTCTTTCATTAGGTCATTGTGTTTATGCAGTATTATGATACTTATTATGAATTTATATTATTATACTTTAATGCAGTGGATGTTCCTAAGAGTCAACCAAGCATTAAAGTGATTCTCCCTTCACTGCTGCTACTGTACTGAAAGCATCGAGGGAAGATTTAAAAGGAAGAATGTCTGTCCGAAGGGTAAATTCTTCATCCTAATACCCACATTTGTCAGCAAAATCCCCTCGATATTATACCATACAGCATCTATATGAAGTCTTTCAGCTCCAGTCGTCCATGCAGTGATAAAAATAGCATTACTTTACTGGGAAAAGAATTATCCTGTTGTTTTAAATGATCCGACAAACTAAACGGAGACTTCATAATGAGCGAAAGGGTCTCTCAGCTTTACAGTGAGATGTCATACATGCAAAAATAGATTTGCATCGACCGGCGTAACATTAAACGAACAACTTTCCTATTGAAGGTGGTGTTTTAGATTTCATGGTTACTAAACACGGTTTGCAGAGCGAGTGTGTGCTGTGTTTTGTCTCAAACTGAGTCATACTGATAAGGTCATTGAATCCCCTGAGCTTTATTAAACACTCTATTATATGCAATTTAATGCCAGTTAATTAGCAAGCGATTCAATATCGTGCAAATCGTGTTTCTTATAAATCCCCGTGCAGATTCAGAATCATTTTCATGTCCTTTTGAGTAAACAGGCTCCCCACGTTTACCACAGATTCATAAGACTGTGCTATTTGTTTGCATTGGCTTTCCAATAATACAGTTTACTGGATTCTTTCTCTTTTTTGAGACCGAATAGACTCTATTATGTGGTTTAACTCTGACTGACCTTGAACCGAAAGGTCTCGCTAGAGCCCTATTGCAGGGGTGGGAAATATAATAACAGCTAAAATTCATATCTGGGGAACCTGAGAAGCTCTGCTGTGCATTAAGGGAATTACAGATTGTTCTGACTCTCTGTGAAACTCATTTCTGAAGCCAAACATATTGCGTAAACACCCGTGATTGGCTTTCCAATAATACAGTTTACTGGATTCTTTCTCTTTTTTGAGACCGAATAGACTCTATTATGTGGTTTAACTCTGACTGACCTTGAACCGAAAGGTCTCGCTAGAGCCCTATTGCAGGGGTGGGAAATATAATAACAGCTAAAATTCATATCTGGGGAACCCGAGAAGCTCTGCTGTGCATTAAGGGAATTACAGATTGTTCTGACTCTCTGTGAAACTCATTTCTGAAGCTAAACATATTGCGTAAACACCCGTGACCCTGTTGTCTGAGAGAACGCTCTAAACGAAGGTTTAAACAAACATCCTTTAAACCATTGGCACAACAAACACTTCTGCTGCACTACAAGATTTGCCGAGCCACAAGCGAGTTGATCCTTCCGACCTGTTTACATGCTAAAATCGCTAAAACACTAACAGCCGAGGCCTGCGTGGACTCAAATATTTTAACAATTTTCTCGATTTTCCACATGGCAGCGTTTTACCCACTTGAAATTATTATTTTCTCATCTTCTAGCATTTGGAAAAATCTCTGTGCATTTGACTTTCAGACAGGAAACCAAAAAAATGTGTCTCTGTGCATGTATCGTTAACCTATTTCTGTCAGGGGACAGCATGAAAATCACACATACAGACCAGTTATTTCACACAATGCAAAGAGCATCTCATCTCAAAGTTAACTAGAACTCTTTAAATGATTTTCAGTCTTCTAGTCATTTAAACCACATTGACCACTGACAAAGTCCTTTTTGAGGTAAGCTGGTTCACTTGGTGGAAATGTAGTACTCAGTACAATTCCTATTGATCTGAATGGGGAAAGGTCGACATCTCCTTAACTTTAAGTTTATACTTGCAAAATCATTAAAACAGTCAGACATGACATCATTTTTGCTTTTGTAGCTTGCTGTAAATCACACTAAATCACTTTTTTCCTGTTAGTCCAAAACAATTCAACACGTTATAGAAAGAAGAAGTAAACAGTCAATGCTTTTGCCAAACAGGTGAATGGCTCATCTAGGGGTCATTTGCAACATATGATGACAAATATTCAAAAATACTGAAGAAAAATTCCATATAAAATGCCTTGTTCTATCTAACTGTCTATTAAATAACGTAAAATGTTTTTACTCTATATTATTATGCACAAAAAAGCTAAACAAATTAATTAATATAAAAAAAAATGTAAAAATTATTTAGAAACACGCATTAAAATATTATATCTATTAAAATATAAATAATTAAGCTTTTTCCATTGGTGTTACCAATGTTAAAAACATGTTTAAAGGGGTCTTTGCTCAAAATTAAATTAAAGGGGTCATATGATGTTGCTCATGTTGACTGTTTATAGTACTTCAGCACATATTAAAGAGGTCATATGACATTGCTAAAAAAACATAATTTGGTGTAATGCAATGTGTTTAAGCAGTTAAAGGTTCAAAAAACACATTATTTTCCACATACTGTACATTATTGTTTCTCCTCTATGCCCCGCCTTTCTGAAATGTGTAGATTTTTACAAAGCTCATTGGTCTGAAAAGCGAGGTGTGCTCTGATTGGCCAGTTATCCAGTGCAATGCTGCGCCTCTTACCATATTTGGAATACAGGCTTCCATGGCGGTGGCAACAATACTACAGCGAGAATAAAAGTTACGCCTTCTTTCTTTGCGTATACATTTGGGTGGTGTTATGCAAATCTTCCAACACAGTGACGTAGATGGGGGTGTGTTTGAATGAGGCGTTTTAGGAAGGCGTGGATGAGTCTTAACTTTTAGAAAGAATATCTCTTTGGGTTTGAGACTTTAATCTTTGTGACTTTACGGATCTTATACTGTATATGCACGAACAGCTTGAAACACTCCAAAGACAAAGGAAAACATGAAATCGTGTCATATGACCCCTTTAAAAAATACAAAAAGCTGTGGAAAACTAAAGTCAAACTTTAAAGAAAGAAGAGGCTTTGAAGGGGCTCAAATGGTGCACATGGTGATTATTCGGGGAAAAAAGTTATTAATTTGCATGTAATTTATGTTTCATTTATTTAAGATTTATTTAGCCTTTTATTATGATAGGACAGATCAGAGATGACAGGAAGTGGAGTGGGCGAGAGAGAGAGGGGGGTGGGATCGGGAAAGGTCCTTGAGTAGGGATTTGAACTAGGGACACCTGTAGCGCAATGGCACTGTATGTCGGCACGCTGCCCACAAGGCTATTGGCGCAAATTCGTTTATCTATTTAAATGTCTTTGGTGTGACACTGAATTTTCATGACAAAAAAAAAAGATAAGAATAAAAGTCTTTCTCAAATAAATAAATATATCTGAGAATGATCCTAAACTGAAAGGCGCTAATCTTTTCTTACAGCCACCAGTTTTCTCTTAATATATTTTTTCTACTTGTGTGTCTGTTGTGTCAAACACATTAGAAATGCATTTTTTGGCATAGATTTGGCAGACAAAGGTATCTTCAATTTCACAATCTGGTATTTGCTTATAATCAAATGTAAAA